GATCAAACCACCTGTGTAATGAAACATGAAAAGGCAGACGGGGTCCTTCACAGCTTTTCGTTGTCATTGATAATACCATCTTTTTAGACAAATCATCTTAATTGATCTTCACATGTGTGAAAATTGTTTCATGTGACTAAAAACCCATTTGCATACAACCGTGACTGCACACAGGGAAATAAACAGACGGAAAGTCATCCCTGTTTTGCTCCTCTGCAGAATCCATTCAGCTTCTGGGTGCAGATCCCTGAAGGACAGGAGCACCGCTTTGTCAAGCCTATGGCCCATAATTGAACAAAGCCTTCTTAGCACCCCAGCTCCCACGCTGGCTAGCAGAGCTTTGTGTAATAGGCCTACAAATGCAATCCAGTGTCTGCCGAAGTCCATTCAAGGTCTTTTAGTGGGATGAGGCCTGCAACGGGTCAGCGGTTCTGAAAGAAATCCATAGGCATGAGGGCAGCGAGAAACAACTTGCGGCCTCCTGAACATCTCTTTGATTGCTTTGCCCCTCCCAAGGCAGGAATATTGTTGTTGCCTTTTCCTCATTCATTCCAAAGCTGCAGTCCAGTCCTCCAGCAGAGGCCCTGGAGTCGAGTACCTTGGTAGAGATTTGCCATATTCCAGAAATTGTTGCTAAATATAATAAAGTTCATGTAAAACTAGGTATATTCAGCCAGCTTATTCTGTTAGTTGAATTACTTAGAGCAACATAAGTTCAGTAAATAATTGTTTGGGGCAAGGTTCTGCACACTTACTGTAAAGAGAGTAACTGTCTTTACAAGAGGCCGCCTCACACCAGTGAAATTACTAAAGTACGACAAGAAAGGGATCAGAATTGGGCTTTAATAACTTCAGTGTTCCACGTTCCTTGTTTTTATTCCTTTTACTGTTCATTCTAGTCATATTTTCTTCATGATTTTACTTCTTTTTTTAACGTTTCCTAATTTTGAAAAAAGTGTATTTCCTTCCTTTGTGTTTTTTTTTTTTTCCATTTCCCTTTATTTTTTATTTCCTGTCTTTTTTTTTCCCCCCCCTGGATTGTTGTGTTCTTTACAGCTTCTCCCTTTTATCTCATCCTCACTCCTTCATCCCTCACATCCCTCAACAAGTGCTAGTTATTTTAAATCAAAAAAATTATGGTTGTTTCCAAAGAAAGGACATTTTAAAAGAAGGTCTGCCTAACAGAGGACTGCAAGATTCATCTCTACCCTTCCTGTCCCTCCTGTGATTTCTTCATATTGTCTCCTCCTATCTCTGTTCTCTTTTTCTTCCTTCCTTTCTCTTCATTCAATTCAACATCATTATTCCTCTTTTTTTCCATTTCATTTTCCTCTTCTCAGATGTATCCCTCTGCTCATTTCTTTAACTTTTCCACCGTATGTTCTCTTTGTGGAAATCACTGGTTTCCCCTCGTGCTCCGAGACTTGTGTCTCCATGAAGTTCCTTTCTTCCTTCCAAATTCATTTTACTGTCATCTGTTACTATAAAATTAAAACGCCTGCCACAAACATATTATTCTTCTTTCTTTCCTCTGAGCTCCAGTCCATTTTCCATTAACAATGTTTTGTCCTGCTTTTCTTATCCAATTTACTTTCCATTGGACTTCCTCTGCCAGCTATTTCTCCTCCTGTCTGACTGGGGAAATCATCCCCTGTAATCCCTCCCACGGTAGAGCTCTGTGCAACAGAAATTTGCTTTCTCCTTCAGGGTGCA